CTCCTCCTCTCCCCATCCCGCTCCTGTAGCCACCTTATGCCGCTCATCCCGCTGTCCTGGCCCTACACATCTCAGCAGCTCCGGGCAGAGCTGCCCCCAGTGGTCCCACTCACCGGGGATTTCCAAACCCTCATGGACACAATAAAGCTCTCTATCCCCAAGGCTGGCTGGTGTTGTTTTTGTCAGTGAGCATTCCTGGTGCCTTCCCCCCCTGGCAGTGGTGAGGTACTGGGATGCCCCCAGCTGGGACCCCCAGAGCACCCACTGTGCCCCAGCCACTGCCAGCTGGGTCACCCCACTACACTCCTGCTGGCCTGGCAGCCCCCTGGAAAATGTTCACATGCAAGGAAGAGCCGGGGGTGTCAGAGCTGTGGTGCAGGCTCCTGAAATCCCCTTCGAGCATTTATTTTGGAGGGATTTTTGCCAGCCCCGGTTTTGCAGAAAGCAGCAGGATAGGAATGTGTGGCTGGGGCCATGCACTGCCTTGGAACATCAGCCTGGTGCCAGCTTCCTGGGGGGAACAGTGGCCCTGCAACCCAGCCCAGGGCATTTGGGGTCACCAGCTCCTAGGGATGGGAGGGGAGGGCAGGCATTCCCAGAGTGTTAGTGCTGATGACACAGGGACAGCCAGACAGCCAGCCCTGGGGACCTCTGGTCACCAAACAGTGCAGGTAAGTGTCTGACTTGTACCAGCAGAGTCCTGAAACCCCTCCAGATGGAGACTTTCCAATTCCCTGGGGACCTGTCTAGGTCCAACGTGAATCCCCCTGGGCTGTGACCTGGCACCAGGCCCCCTCACTGCTGTCTAGAAAGGTTTGGTCTTATCCATCCCCTCCCTCCCTTTCTGTGCCATGGCTGGGGGCTGCTCTCACAGCAAGACTCTGCAGGCCCAGCTCCCTCCCATCTCCTCAAGGGCTGGGTGCTCTAATCTGCAGCCTGAGCAGCCACAGTGGGGTCGTGGCAGGGTCCCAGGATCACCACCATCACCTTGGGGCCCTTCCAGCAGGCTTGGTGGCTCCTGCCCACCCTGACACCTCGGCTGACCCCTGTGGTGCCCTGTCTGCACAGTGCCACTGGTCCTTGAGGAGGTCTCAAGCAAGGAGGACAAACCCCAATGACCAAGGGATGTGTGGGAAGCACCATCACCACAAGCATGGCAGACCAGCAGGAAGGAGGGGACAGTTGGGACTGTCCCAGCAGGGACTGTCCCAGCAGGGACTGTCCCATCATGTCCTTGGGCTGTCCCAGCTGAGGAAGAGGGGCCAGGCCACCAGCACCTCCCTGGGAGCCACCACTCTACCAGGAGCCCTCCATCAGCTCCAGGATGCTGCTGTAGAGGCGCCCGGGGGCATCCAAGCCCCAGACAAAGTCCCAGTGGCACCAGTCGGGGATGTGGGTGTAGGAGACGAGGTGGGCAATGCGGGGCAGCAGCAGGCGGACGTCCCTCCAGTCAGCTGCCCAGTCCTCCCCTCCCGACCACACCGCCGTGGGCACCGGCATCTCCTCCACCTGGTAGAAGGGTGGTGTATCCTGGAGGGGCACAGGGAGCTCTGAGGAATGGCTGTCGTGGTCAATCCCTGCAAGGCAACCCACCCCTGCACCATCCTGGCATCTCCAGCTGCCAGCACTGCCCCTGCAGCCTCCTACCTGGTGGTACACGGCGGTGTTTTTGCTGCCATAGTCAAAGGCTTTGAATTCTCCTGATTTCACCACCTGGGAGGAGAGGGTAGATCTGTGTGGGAGGCCAGCAGGTGCCACTGTGTGGGTCCAGCACCTCCCAGCCCCCTTGAAGGCCCACATCATGAGAAGGTGCTTGGAAGGGGTTTGGGCAAGTCCTTGCCCTCCACTTGCCCATCGCCAACCATGCCAGCTGGCTGGGGACAGGCAGGACAAGGAAAGGTGTCAGTGTCCTCACCCATGGGATGCTGCAGGAGGAGGTGGCACCCCTGCAAAGCCAGACTTTCCACCCTTTTTAACAGGGTGATGCTCTGCCCTCCTGCTCCATGTCTGTCCCTAGCTCTGGGTTGGCAAACTGGGGTGTTGCATGTGACTCCTTGGCTGCCCTGGTGCCACACTCTTCCCTCTGAAAACCTGCTCATCACCAGCTGGGTGTGCAGGATGCTGCTGGATCTCCTTTAACAACCTTTTATGCCTTCCCTGTTGCCTATAATTTGGCTCTGCAAGGAGGCACAAGGGTGGGGGTCTCCAGCCTGACCCGGTTTCCAGCAGGGCCAATGCTGCAGCTGCAGCAGGACTGGCAGAGCCCAGGCTTGGGGTGTCCAGGACCCCTTTGGGCAGGAGGAGATGCTCTTGGGTCCCACTTTACCTCCTTGTCCAGGTCTCCCAGGCTCTCCTTGTAAAGCCTGGTTTCACCCACCAACACCAGGGTGCCCCCAGGCTCGCTCTGCTCATCCCTCCCCTTGTCCTGCCTGACACAGTCCAGGGAGTACAGCCTGGTGTCCCCACAGGGCAGCTCATCCTGCATCCAGCACCTTTCCTGTCCACCTGATTTCTTGCCTTTACTTTCTCAGGATCTGCCAATATCCAAGATCCCTGAACTCTCACATCTGCCCTGGACACACCAGACTCCCTATGAAGGGCCCATCCCAGGGATGAAGCATCTGTGTTTCAGGGAACCTACCTGGGCCCAGTGAACTATGTTTTTGACAGAGGTCCCATCTGGATAGTGGGATGTGTACACATCCAGCCGTGTCTGCAAGGAGAAATATCCAAGCTATCATTGCTTTCCAACGGAGGGGAGCGAGGGTGGCACTGCCAGGTGATGTGTTTCCCAAAGCAGCCACTGCTGAGTCGTGCTGCCTAGAGAGCTGGGTCAGGCTTAGGAACATGATTTTCATTAAAAAAGCCAGGTCAGGTTCAGAAATATGATTTTCATTAAAAACCTATTGCTCTAAGACAGCACCAGCAGGAGAATGATGGGGATGAAGGATGGAGGATCCCCAGCTCCATGAGGTACCTTGTCTGAGCTCAGGGACAGAATCACAGAATCACAGGATCAGTTAGGTTGGAAAAGACCACTGAGGTCATCAAGTCACACCTGTGACCCAACACCACCTTGTCCCCCATCCCAGAGCACTGAGTGCCATGTCCAGTCAGTCCTCAAACACCTGCAGGGACAGTGACTCCACCACCTCCCTGGGCAGCCCCTGCCAACATCTAATCACCCTCTCTGTGAAAAAATTCTTCCTAATGTTCAACCTAACCCTCTCCTGGTGCAGCTAAGGACTATGTCCTGTTGTCCTGT